CCCTACTTTTTTTTTTTATGTGGGTTCTGGGGAAGTAAGAACTTTTTTTTTTTCGTCTTTTTGAAACAGGGTCTCCCAGTAGCCCCAGCTGGCCTGGAACTCACTCTGTAGACCAGGCTGGCCTTGAGCTCAGAGATCCACCTGCCTCTGCCTCCCGAGTACTGGGACTAAAGGCATGTGCCACCATGCCTGGCTAGAACTTTTTTTGTGTTGTTTTCTTTGAGACAGGGTCTCACTGTGTAACGTTGGCTGGCCTGGAACACAGATGTGACCAAACTGTACTCAAACTCACAGAGATCTCTTTGCCTCTGCCTCCTGAGTGCTGGGATTAAGGACATGTGTCACCATGCCCAGCCTGTTAAGAACTTTTGCCCACTGAGCCATTTCCCTAGCCCTTGTTTGCTTTTTTTCAGATAGGGTCTCACTGTGAAGCTCTTGTTGATTTGAATCTATGTATGTAGACCAGGCTAACCTCAGACTTATTGCAATCCTCCTACTTCTGCCTCCCAAGTGTACCACTATGCCTGGCAAGAAGCCTACTTTGAAGGATATAACTCAGCTGAGTATGATGTTACACACTTATGATCCCAGCAATCAAGAGGTGAAGTAGAAGATTTGCCAAAAATTTGAGCCAGACTGGTCTACAGAGCTAGATTCTGTCTCAACAAAGCCAGATAGGTAGGTAGGTAGGTAAATAGATAGACATATAGACAGGTAGGTAGATAGAATAAAAGATCTTATCTCAGAACTGGAAGGAGGCAATATATGTAGCTCAGTGATAGAGCTTATGTTCAGCATGCCAAGCCTCTGGGTTCAGTTCCAAGCTCATGTCTTTGGAGAAGTGAGGTCCCTCTCTCTCTAGCTTGGATTTGGTATCTGATTTACCAGGTGCTCAGACTGCTCAACTTTGTGATGTTCTTATGAGAGTAATACTTATCTATTGTGAAATATTTGGAAAATGAAGATAAAAATCACTAAAAACTTCTGGATCCAGAGATACTGTTGACATTTTGTAGCATCTTCTCGACCTTTTCTATCCATACCTATAGATAGAGGTAAACAAAACAGTTAACAGAATAAACTTTCTTTTTTCATGTATTGGTAAATCTTTTTATTCATGTACCTTTCAATGGCAAAAATTACAATTCATATAACATTGCCTTTATGGGATGTATAAGTTCTGGGTATGCTCTAGTTTAACAATTTTTCTCCTGTTGGATATTTAGCTTTTTTTTTTTCCGCGCCCCTGTAGCTGGCAGTTAAAAGGGCCACCTGCAATGGGCAGGTGGTCCCAGTTATGCGCAAGCAACGTGCTGTGGCGCTGCAGGGATATTTAGCTTTATTCTAACACCTTAAATATTTTTGTCAGTGTCTGCTTCTGCAAAGAAAAAATTCTGATATCATAAGATGCTAGTGAAGCTAGGCATGGTGGCACATTCCTGTAATTCTAGTACTTTGGAGGTGGAGGCAGGAACATCAGGAGTTCAAGGTTATCCTTAGCTGTGTAGAGAGTTCTAGGCCAGCTCGGGTTACATAAGACCTTGTCTTAAAACACAAAAGACATTAGTGAAACGGTATGGTATCTCATGCCTCTTATCCTAGCACTTGGGAGGCTGAGGCAAGAGGATGGATCATTGTGAGTTGCAGGCCAACCTATAAGAGAAAAACAGTGAGGGGTTTGGGGGATGGCTTAGTTGACATATTGTTGTGCAACCATGAGGACCTCAGTTTATTCCCCCAGTACCCAAGTGAAAATCTGAGTATGGTGGCAGCCCTGGGGAGGTGGAGACAGGAGGATCCTTGAGGTTCATTGGCTACCCAACCTCACTTACTAGGCAAGCTAAAGGTCCCAGTGGGAGACCCTGTCTCAACAAGAAACACACACACACACCAACAACTGTAGCAGAAATAGTACTAGAACCAGTAGACTTTCAGGTCTAGATTAACCCTTGATACTGTTCTGTTTCCCTGAAAGTGGAGATGAAAAAATACTGGGACAGTACAAGGAATCATCTTGAATTGTTGCAAAAACACAGGCAGATTTGTTGCTGAGTCCTCATAGTTGTGCAGATTGTAATTACAAAAGAAAAATTTCACAAACGACACGTCATCAAGACCATGTTTACTGAAACATGAATTTTCCTATAACATAAAATGCTTGATGTAAACTTTTGTAATTTAAATAAAGTATTTAGGACCAGCCATGCCATCTAGAACTAAGAGGAGTAGAAACCCCTTGAGTGTGCTGCTCATAGAATGCTCTGAGGAAGAGATAGTACTTAAAAATGCATAAAAAATGGGGCTAGAGAGATGGCTCAGCAGTTAAGAACATTGGTTGTTCTTGCAGAAGACCTGGGTTCAAATCCCAGCACCCACATGGCAGCTAACAATTGTCTGTAACTCCAGTCCCAGGGGATCCAACAGCCTCTTCTGACTTCTGTGGGCATTGCACGACACGGGTGCACTTACCTACACGCAGGCAATACACGCATATACATAAAATTTTTTTTAAAAAGTTTTTAAATTAAAAATATGGATAGAACCTGAGGGAACAGAGTAAGATTGATACAGTGTGTTCATATTGTGATGAAGCAATTTATTATTTATTTTATTTCATGTGTATGAGTGCTATGCCTGCATATATGTAAGTGTACAGTGCCTACGGAAGTCTGAAGAGGGCATCAGATCCCCTGGAACTGGAGTTACAGACAGTTGTTAGTCACCATGTGGGTGCTGGGAATTGTACCCAGGTCCTCTGCCAAGAGCAACCAGTGCTTTTTAACCACTGAGCTATCTTTCTAGCCCCTTGATGAATCAGTTTTAAAAGATTAAATTGGAAGGGAAAGAGATACCAGAAAAGTAAGTTAGATATTTACTAACTCAGACCAAAAATAAATAAAATTATATAGCCCTCATGACACTGAAACCAAGCAGGAAGAACAGGTTAAAGGGCAGAAGTGAGGGGATGTTAAGGGATAAAAGCAAAAGCATTTCAAAGGTAAAAAAAAAAAATTCTCTAGTGTATGAATGTATTGCCTGAATGTGTATAAGTGCATCCATGTTGTACAATGTCCAAGGAGTTCAGAAGAGGGCATCAGATCTGGAACTAGAGTTATAAAGATGGTTGTTAGCTACCATGTGGGTGCTGGGAATCAAACCCAGGTCCTCTGCAAGAGCAGCCAGTGCTCTTAACCACTGAGTTATCACTCCAGCCTTGTTTAATAATAATTTTTAAAAAAGAATACTAGTGCCAGGTGTGGCAGCACACGCCTTTAGTCCCAGCACTTGGGAGCAGAGGCAGGAAGATCTCTGTGAATTCAAGGCCAGCCTGGTCTACAAAGTGAGTTCCAGCCTGGTCTACAAAGTGAGTTCCAGGCTAGCTGGGGCTACAGGGAGACCCTGTCTCAAAACAAAAACAAAAACACAACAACAACAAAAAAGAATACTAGTACTGTTAACAGAAATTAAAGATAAAACAGGGCATGGTAGGGCATGCCTGTAATCCCAGCACACTGAAGGATAAGGTAGGAGAATTACAAGTTTGAGGCCTGCCTAGGCAATACAGTAACATTCTGTCTCAAAAAAGGAAAGGAAAAGAGGGAGGGATGGAGAGAGGAAGGCAGGAAGTTGAAAGATAAAACAGATTTTGAAGGAGATGGGCCCTAAGATAAGAAATTTAAGACAATGAGACACAGGAGGAGAGTGGCTTAGTAGTTGATGTGTTACGAGGCAGAGGTTTAGGTGAGGTGGACACAGCTAGAAACTGGACACAGCTAGAAACTGGTAGATGTGACTGCTGAAGCTCTGTGGCTCAGGCTCTGAGTGAGTCTATAACTGCTTCCTAATATGGCTCACCTGGACATTTTTCTAATGTGAGCATTCTGTTTCTTTTTATTTTTTAAGATTCATTTTATTTTTGTCTTTTTGAGACAGGGTCTCTTGTAGCCTCAGCTGGCCTGATACTCACTACGTAGACCAGGCTGGCCTTGAACTTACAAAGATCCACCTGCCTCTGCCTCCTGAGTGCTGAGATTAAAGGTGTATGCCAGCACACAACAGATCTATTTTATTTTATATTTTATTATTTTTGTCTTCTGTGTATGCATGTATTGCCTGCATATAGGTAAGTGCACCCATGTCGTGCAATGCCTGTGGAGGACAGAAGAGGCCATCAGATCCCCTGGAACTGGAGTTACAGACAGTTGTTAGCTGCGATGTGGGTGCTGGGATTCGAACCTGGGTCTTCTGCAAGAACTACCAGTGTTCTTCACCACTGAGCCATCTTTCTAGCCCCTATGTATTTTATTTTTAATATTTTATTCTTTTTATTTTATGTGTATGAGTGTATTGCCTGCATGTATGTGAGTGCACCCGGGTCATGCAATTCCACGGAGGTCAGAGAGGGCTTCAGATTCCCCTGGAACTGGAGTTAAGGATGGTTTGTATCCACCATGTGGGTAATGGGAATCGAACCCAAGTCCTCTGCAAGAGCAGCCAGTGCTCTTATCCGCTGTGCCATCTCTCCAGCCCTAGATCTATTTTATTTTTAAGTGTGTGTGTGTGTGTGTGTGTGTGTGTGTGTGTGTGTATACACACACATGTGAATGCAGATGCCTGTGGAGGTCAGAAGAGGGCATTGGATACCTTGGAACTGGAGTTACATGTGGTTGTGAGTCACACAGCCATGGTATGATTGGTCTAAGGACTTCCCTGAATAGCAGAGAGGCATGACAAGAATAAGGTCTCTATTATGGCGCATACACAGATGTCTAATCTCAGCACCTGAGAGGTGGCGACAGGAGGAATAGGAGTTCAGGGTCATGCTTGGCTACGTAATGAGTCTGAGGCCATTATTTTCTGTCTCAGAAAAACAATAACAACAGGGAAAGCAGGGAGCTAACATCTGTGCTTTGGAGTTAGTATTTGGAAGATAAGTCTAAGAGTCCACGAAGGGAAATGTTTCTGAAGGTCATGTTCTTTGTCTTCTCCTTTCATTCCAGGCCCTTTGGAGAATACTTACCGTGATTTCTGGCTCATGGTATGGGAACAAAAAGTTTTGGTTATTGTCATGACTACTCGGTGAGTTAATTCTCTCTTACCTATAGATATTGCCTACCTCTACCTAGATCCCAGGTATGGGTGACTGAAGAAGAAAATCCATAATAAACAGAAATATCTTAGCTTTTGTTTTTAGCACATCTATAGCTAATGTGCCAGGGTCTGTTGGAAATAGATCTAATCTGGCAGAGCTTTAATCCATGGCTTTAGAGACCCAGTACCAGTTATAACTTATCCTGAGGTCCTGATCTTATCCACTAAAGGAAGTACTGGGAAACATGGGTTGCTAACCTATAATCTGGCCCTTAATTCAGGACAGGAGATGGCTTCCTGGTTGATGAGTTACCCAGTTTCCTTTGCTCTTCATTCCTGCTGCTTTTGACTGCTTTTCTTATTCCTATTTATACCTGTCTGTCTCTGTAAGAGAACAGATAAAAGAAGTGAAACAAATGAGTCAAGCAGGAGATTCTGAATGAAGAAATGTTTTAGAAATTAGGCAATTCTGCCAAATTTAAGGAATTTACTATTTTATTAGTTCTAAGATTATGATGATTACAACTTATTTAGATGAGAAAAAAAGAAAAGATGTTTGCTCAGTTCCCTTCTCAGGGCATTGCTAACAGCCACCTGTAGTTGGGATAAGTACCCCCTCAAGGTACTTGGAGGCCACTGGAAAATGGTGAGATGGGTTATACAAACATAGTGTCTAGAAGCTGTGTTCTTCACACTTCTCTGTCAGCCATGGGCCCTTGGTGGAGAAGAACCTGAGCACTGGCTAAGGTCCAGGCCTCACTGTTTTTGCTACTGTGTTGTATATCCTAGTATTTATCTCAGTTTGTGAGAGGTACTACCAGTATCAGGAAGGAGATCAGATGAAAGCAGTAAATGTACATACAGTACATGTCTGCTAAATGGACACATGTAGAAACTTTACCTGTTTTGACATGTTTAGAATGAATGATTTCCTTTTTTCTGTAAAGAATAAGTTCTCTTCATTAGGAGCAGTGCAGGGGATGACAGTGCAGCCTAGAGCTCTGCACGTTGTGGTGGAAAGCAGCTTACTGCTGGTTGAAGAAGCGTGAAAACTTAACTTGTTCTGTCTGTCTTCAGCTTTGAGGAAGGTGGCAGGAGAAAATGTGGCCAGTATTGGCCTTTAGAAAAAGACTCTCGGATCCGATTTGGCTTCCTCACGGTGACTAATCTAGGAGTGGAGAATATGAACCATTATAAAAAAACAACTCTAGAACTTCACAACACAGAGGTAAATGCAGGTTTCTGTTTTTTCACTTTTTTGAAGCTAGGGAAGATCCTTTAAAGAAAATCTCTCTAGATGTAGAGGACCTTTGATCCCATCACTCAGGAGGCAGAGGCAGGTGGATCTCTTTGACTTCCTAGAGCTACAGAGTAAGACCTTGCTTCAAAAAAAAAAAAAAAAAATTCCAAGAGGGAATAGGTTTGGGTCCTAGGTCCCATGTGACACATGCCTATTACACTGCTTAGGAGGCAGATGTAGGAGAATTGTGAATTTGACAATAGCCCGAATATATAGCAAGACCTTGTCTCAAAAAATTACAGTAAGGGGCTTGAGAATGATGACTCAGCTGTTAAGAGCTAGGTGTCCCATGCATATCTATAACCCTAGCTCTGATGGAGTCAGAGACAAGAAGATCACTGGGCTACTAGGTTGCCAGCCTAGCTGAGAAAAAATGTGAGCTCCATGTTCAGGGAGAGACCCTACCTCAAAGGAATAGGCCAAGAGTGATATAGGAGGACACTGATACCTTCTTGGCCTCTGCATGTGTGCACAGGTGTGCATACCCGCCCCCGCCCCATCCCCGCACATGTACTCAGGACTCAAAAATACATTCACAAATAAAATAAATAAATCTTTTTGAAAAAACCCTACAATAATAATAAAAGAAATCTACATCCTTCTTATAGGACTCGATCTTCCCAAATATGTAGCTCTTCCTTTGGGTTTGTGGTAGAGAATTGGGTTTGTGGTAGCAATTGGGAAGAAAGTTGAGAGAGGAAGACAGAAGGCTTGGTGGTATGAATCTTAAAAAACCCAGGACACTAAGGGCAGACAGAAGTGACCTCATTAATTTTGCTTGTTTTTTCATTTAAGGAGCGGCAGAAACGCCAGGTGACCCACTTCCAGTTCCTAAGCTGGCCAGATTATGGTGTCCCTTCCTCAGCAGCTTCCCTCATTGACTTCCTGAGAGTGGTCAGAAAGCAGCAGAGCCTGGCTGTCGGCAGCCTGGGAGCACGCTCCAAAGGGCAGTGCCCTGAGCCACCCATTGTGGTACACTGCAGTGCAGGCATTGGCAGGACAGGTATTGTACCTCACACCATTCATGATGCATCCAGAGGCAGAAGGGGTGGGGAGGAAAAACAAAACTCTTGGGCCTACTTGTGATTGGAAAAAGAACTCATATGATTCCCTTGGTGTTAAATTGCTATGAAACTTGCTCTGTAATGTCATTTTTGTATCCCTGGTGCTGAGGATATTATATTGTGCTTGCCAGAATATATACTTCATAAAACAAGTCCTCTGGGGGGTGGGGTTTGATGTTTTATACATCCCATCACCATGGTTTTCTTCTGGCCCCATCAACTGTGTCATTGCCATCACTGTGGGTGTCCCAGAGAGCTTAACTGGGCTGCTGCCTCCTTCCCATCCCTGACTCTCAGGGGACCTCTTCTCCCTGTGCTCTTTTGTTTTCTTTCTTCTTTTTGAGACAAGGCCTTACTATGAGGCCTAGTCTGGCCTGGAACTGAATTCATGTATTCTTCTGCCTCAGCTTCCCAAGTGTGCTGGGATTATAAACTTGCACCACGTTGCCTGGTTCCTGTATTCTTCATTCAGTTCACAGCTTTGGCTTTAAGGGGATGTGTGCCGCAGGAGATCAGAAGTCCCTTTGGGAGAAAGTCAGGAAGATTGTTAGGCCTCTGGAGAGTTACAGTCTGTTCAAATTGGATGTGGGAGCACTGTTGCTCTGTCTAGGAGTGAAGCAGGAAGTTCCTCTGTGTCACCTACCCACTTATTCTTCCTGTAACCCCATATAACGTCCTGAGAAACAAGAGCCTTGTTCATTTTCCGGACTTGAGCACTCCAGTGACATTCTTCCTCAATCCCTTTTAGGTTTAAAGCTATTTGGTCTTCTACCATCGGGCCTTTTGCCTTTGAATTCATTCATTCAGGCTTGCCAGGGTGATTTGACAAAGGGAAGAAGACAGGGGAGGTATACTTATGTGACCATTTCCTTCCTTCTCCAGGTACCTTCTGCTCACTGGACATCTGCTTGGCACAGCTGGAAGAGCTTGGCACCCTTAATGTGTTCCAGACGGTGTCTCGCATGAGGACCCAGAGGGCCTTCAGTATCCAGACCCCTGAGCAGTACTATTTTTGCTACAAGGCCATCCTGGAGTTTGCAGAGAAAGAGGGCATGGTTCCCTCTGGCCATAGCCTACTGGCCATGGAGGGTCAATAACTGCTTCATGAGTTTCCACCTGCTGGCCAACCTTCCTTAAACTACCCTGGACACCGCTGAGCCTATAGGTTGCCATCAAATATGCTGAAGCCGTGGATCGACCTCTTTCTCATGTCTGTCTCTTAGCACACGTGTGCACGCAAGGCAGCCTTTCCCTTTGGCTAGATAAATGTGGTGCAATTGCCACTAGAAAGGGCCAGCAGCAATGTGTTCTTAATTCCTAGCACCTGCTATTGAACTGTGCCTTATTAAAACCAAATTGTGGCTATTGATTTTTGCCAGGGTCCCTGAGGTAAGTGGGGAAGGAAACTCCCCCTCTCCTAATGCCATTTTTCTTCTGGAAGTCTCTTTCCCTTTGCTAGGATTTTGACAGGGAGGTTTGGTGAGCATTCACCTTCCTGCCTAGAGAGCTTGACCAAGTTACATATTCTAGAGATTGTCTTGAGTGCCAAGCACGTTTATACACATAGGGCGTGTACTCCAGTCTTTTCTGTCATTCTGTGTGTGCGCGCGTGTACGTATGTGCACTTATGTGTATGGATCCATATGTATGTGTGTATATAATATATATTGTATGTGATAATATGGTTGTATTCTATAAATGCAAATACACACAGATACTCTTTGTAGAAGTTCCTGGGGTTCCATGTTGCAGTTTAGCACTCCTTGCTTTTTGGACCCTGCTGATTATTCTAGACTGGTTGGGGTTGGAGGTCATGGCTCATGTTTTCAGACAACAGAGTAGTAGAAGACACATACATTTCTCTGTTCCTGGGCCTCATTCTTCATGGCATCTTTTCCGCCGGACTCTGCTTGTTGGAGCCAAAAACACTGGCTTTTGGTGACATTGGTTTAATTTAGCATGGTTTGCCCCTTGTCTAACAAATTTTCTCTGTTTACTTTGCTGATTGGGGAACAGACTCCACTGTGATTCCAGACCGTCTTCTCACAATCCCAGGGATGGGAACCAAGTATAAAGGTGAATTCACTGAGCTGCCAGAGTGAAAAGTAATCGGTACGAAGTCTTAGAAGGCAGGTGTGAGCAAGAGAAATCTATGAGAATCCCTTTCTGGGAGGATGAACTTGGGCCCCTTTTTCTTTCTTTGCATAAAACTTGGCCTTGTCTACGGAGATACCCAACTCTCCTGCCTGCTAAGCTTGCCATACCCTAGACTTCAAACTGGATGGTTCTATGCCATTGCATAGCATAATTCCTCTGGCTGGGTAAGGTGGTCCTGTACAATCATTGGTCCCCTACTCACCCAACCTGTCTGTTCCATGTCTTCTCCCAAATTGATATGCGAGGAATGGAATCAAGAATCCCCAACATTCTCCTTTCCCACAAAAACCCATGGAACCCCTAAACCTTTCTTCCCCAACTACAGAAGAAGAGGTTGGCAAGCTGGTCAGACCTCAATAATTTTATACTGTAATAAGATCTTTGAATGTGTATATTCTTATTTTTTACAATCATTTCATTTTGTATTTAACATCAATGGACTGAGTCAGATTCAGAAAATAATTATAATGTTCATATTCAATATCTTACAGTGGTACAGTTTTGTATTTACATATAAATATACCAACATGATCAAACACTTTTAGCTTCATCAATTTAGCAGTCTGGGGTTGGGAAGGTGAGGAGGGAGTCCAGGAGCTGGTCTTGGACTGATGGGAGGCAAGGGAGGGGCCCAGAGCTTCAGTATCTGAGACTCAGTTCTGAGAGGTACCTACCTTATCTGTAGGCCATGGCCCTACCAGTACCAGTTGAATGCTGTGTGACAAACTTAGTGCTCAGTGCTTAATCTCCAATGTTATCTCCTGGACTGAACCTTCACAATTCCAGTGCATATCCTCCTTCCTTTTTCCACACCCTCCTTCCATTTCTCCAGTGCTTGGATGATAGGCATGAACTGCTACAACCTGCTTTTTTTTAACCTAATTCTGTGTAGATGAAAAGATGAGGAGCAGAGAAATACAGTGATTTACTGTAAAACAGGAGCTCAAGATGATCTGCTTAAAAAGCCTCTTTGGCCTCTTCACAGTATTGGAGATGGAATAGTGCTTTGTTTTTGGAGGCTACGTTTTAGGGTTTTTTTGTTTTTTTTTTTAAAGTTCTCCTTTTAGAGTATAATTGGTTTTAAAATTCTAGGTGTGTATGTGTGTGTATGGTTTGTTTGTTTGTTTGAGACAGGGTCTTACTCTGCAGCTTAGGTTGGCATTGAACTCATCGCAATCGTCTCAGTCTCCTGAGGACTAGGCTTATAAGGCATCCACTACTACACCCAGCTTAGGTAAGTTTATATTGCGCACATGTTCTTTGAAGTAGACTAGAAAGGTCATATTGGTGACTGATTCTTCCAGATGAAGATCTCCTGACATAATCTCATGTCTGCAGAATGCCAAAGAAAAACTCTACAAATATGGGTCTACTAGTCTTTGTGAGAAGATCTTGAGTCATTTGTATCTGTCTCTGAAAATGGAATCAGAAGCTTTGACCTTGTAGGAATACTCCCCATACCACATATTTTCTGTTAGGCAGTGACAACCTGTCCAGTCGGAGCAATTCTGACTTGTAGTGTGCAATTATTTGGCTGTTCTGAATAACAGTAATAACAACTAACATTTACTGGATGCTTACTATATTCTAGGTCCTGTTCAGAGTACATTATGGGTACTACCCCATTCACCCTCAACAACAATTTGAAATAGGTATTGACAGAAGGAAACCATTGAAACACCAGAATATAAATTTGCTATAGACGTGGACCTGGATTCCAAAGAACCTACTCTTACACTAGATGTTTCTAAGGATCCATCTCCTGATCTGCCAACACACTTTTCTTGATTTTTTTTTTTTTTAACCTCAACCAAAGAATAAACTGCTAGGTATGGTAGCACAGGACTGTGATCCCAGCACTAGAGAGGAAGAGATAGGAAGATTAGGTGTTTAAGGCCAACCTTGGCTATATAGGTAGTCTGAATTCAGCCTTGGCTGCATGAGACCCCATCTAAAGAAACAAAACCAAAAGAAGTTTAGAACAGATTAAGCCAGGCAGGACCTCTGAAATTTGAAATTAGAGACATTATGGAAATATGTAGGGCTGGTGAAATATGCAGGAAACAGCATTCATGATAAAAGACCTGGATAAGGTAACTCAAAACTGTCGCTTATTAAAAGAGGCTGTAACTTAGCTGTGCTGCAAATTGCTAAATTCAAAGTTAGGCACTAGTCCCTAGGTGCAAGTTCCTGGACCAGCCTAATAGGTGATTGAGTGAATACAGGATGACTCAGGCTTTAGACCAGGTTGACCTCCATCTTAACAGATCTACCTGCTTCTGTCTCTGCCTCCTGGGTGTTGGGATTAAAGGTGTGTACCATCATACCTGGCTTTTTCTTTTTTTTAATTAAAAAATCTTTTTTGTGTGAGTTTTTTGCCTACATGCATGCATATAAAGTGTATCTGTGCATACATTGTCTGAGGAGGCCAGAATAGGGCGTTGGATCCCCTGAAAGTAGAGTTATAGATGGTTATTAGCTACCATGTGGGTGCTGGGAACCAAACCCAGATCTTCTACAAGAGCAGCCAGTGCTCTTCTAAGCTATCTCACGAGCTCATTTGGTGGTTTTTAAAAAACAAGTTTCATTATTTTGAATAATTTAATATTTGTGTGTGTGTATGGGTGCATGTGTCAGAGCACAACTTTCAGGAGTTGGTTCTTGCCTTCCACCTTGTTGAGGCAGATTCTCATTGATTCTACTGTGTTATATGTTCCAGCATAGCTGGCTGGCGAGCTTCCAGGCTATTCTCTCTCCACCTCCCATCTGTCAGGTAGGAGTCCTGGGATTAAGGATGCGTGCCATCACATCTGGCTTTTTAAATAAATTCTGTGGATCAAACTGAGGTGGTGAGGCTTGCCTGGCTAGCGCTTTTACCCATTGAGCCATCTCCATGACTCTTAATTTTTTTTGAGAAAAGGTCTTGCTATGTGTCCCTGTAGCCTTGGTACTTGTTTATTTAGCTCAAGGTGTCCTTGAACTTACGGAAATCCTCCTTCTTTCTGAGTTTGGGGGCTATAGGCAATGTGCGCATCTAGTTATTTTTAGACCAAGTATCACTGTGTTGCCTAGATTGGTCTCAATTTTCTGGGCTCAAGTGATCCTTTTGCCTGAATTTGCAAAAGTAGCTGGGACTACAGGTCACCTGCCACCAAACATGGCTGCTTCTTTGTACTGTTTGCCAGTGTGATCCTACCTGTGGTAGAAGCTGTTAAAGAGGATAAGGAAGAGGAAAACAGAAGAGCTTAGAATTTGTTCAAGAACTGAAGGCTCTCTGTCCACTGTGGTAGTGTGTGCTTTCAATCTAAGCACTCATGAGGCAGAGGCAAGTGGATCTATGTGAGGTTGAGAACAGCCTGGTTTACATAGTGAGTTCCAGGCCAGCTGGGGCAACAGGGAGACTGCCTGAAAAAAAGTAAAAAAAAAAATAAAAAAATAAAAAATAAAGTGACAGTTCTCACACACTGCCTCCCAAGTGCTGGGATTAAAGGTGTGTGCCACCATGCCCGGCCAAAAATTTTTTTTATTTATTATTTTTATGTGTATGCTTGTATTGCCTGCATGTAGGTAAGTGCACCCATTGTCATGCAGTGCCTGCGGAGGTCAGAAGAGGCTGTCAGATCCCCTAGGACTGGAGTTATGAACAGTTGTTAGCTGCCATGTGGGTGCTGGGATTCGAACCTGGGTCTCCTGCAAGAACAACCAGTGTTCTTAACTGCTGAGCCATCTCTCCAGCCCTTCTTTTTATTTTAAGTGTATTTTCCCTGCATGTATGTAAGTGGACTATGTGCTTACCATCCCTGCAGAAGTCAGAAGATGGCGTTGGAACCCCTTGAGTTATGGCAGTTAGCTGCCATGTGAGTACTGGGAATGGAGCCCGGGTCCTTCACAAGATTAGCCAGTGCTCCTGCTGGGCCGTATCTCCAGCCACAATGCTGTTTTTCCCCCCTACTCTAACATTCCTGTGGTTTCTAATTTTTCAAGCACAAGTGATAATCCCTTTGCTCTCTTGCTTCCTTCGTGCTTCCCTTCCCTGTTAGCTAGGATGAACTCCTAATGGAAGGGGGCTCCAGCATCCTCAACCTACAGCAGTGTAGTGTTTTGTACTACACTGCTCTTGATTGATCGCAGAGAAGTCTTAGGTCTTCTCCACAATCAGAAATAATAGCACTTGGAAACCTGTTTAATCTCCCCCTACTTCTTTACCACAGCGGTCACAAATACCTTTCCCCGTTTCAGCAAAATTGGGTATGTTGCAGTGTTAAAGACTCACGTTTTTCAGGCTAAGGCTAACTACACTAGAACCTCACCAGACAAGGAAGGTAGAGGGTGGGAGCTATGATGCCTTCTTAACCACTTAAGGTGGTTAATACGTTCTGGATAATTGCTGACACTGATGATTAGAGTCAGAAGCTAAACTGACTAAAGGCCTCCCTCACTTCAGGCTGACTCCCCTGTACCTGGCCCTTACATTAAATTCTTGGTTCTTCTCTAAGCTACTGCATAGGTTTGTCTTAATCCTCAACACTGGCCAGATACATAGTAGAGCAAAGGTCAGCTATTTCATCTTTTGAAGTCTCTTCTTCTACTTCTTTTAAATGCACACCCTGCAGGGGCTGTCTGGGGGGAGGCTTGAAGGAAGGGTGAAGGGATATGGACAGTGCTCAAGCTGCCCTTCCTTCTACTCAAAGTGTTCCTTTATCTCTTCCATCGTGGGCTTCTGAATAAGATGTTACTTGAAAAAGGAACCTGCTGCCTTAAAAAAAATAAAATCACCAACCACTGGTATATAGAAGAAAACAGACTGAAAAACAATGCCGGATAAACTGGGGAACATCCTATTACATGTTTTTGTGATTTAGGATAGTAGTGGCCCTGAGGGCTGAATTAATGCTCAGTGAGAAGACATTTCAAGGCAAGGATTGCCAGAGATGGAATTTGTGCTTTTAGTCTGCACAAGCTTATGGCTTGGACTACAACTTCAGGGACTTTGCATTTAATATACTTAAAAAATATTTTATGTGTATGATTGTATTGCCTGCATGCAGGTGCACCTGTGTTGTGCAGTGCCCCCAGAAGTCAGAAGAGGGCATTGGATCCCCTGGAACTGGAGTTAAGGACTGTTGTTAACCACCATGTGGATGCTGGGAACTGAACCCATGTCCTCTGCAAGAGCAGTCAGTGCTCTTAACTGCTGAGCCATCTCTCCAGCCCCATATTTCATTTTTTAAAATTTATTTGTATTTTATGTGTATGAGTATTTTGCCTGCATGTATGTAAGTGCACCCATGCATGAATGCTACAGAGGCCAGAAGAGGGTGTCAGACCTCCTGGAACTGGAGTTAGGGACAGTTGTTAGCAGCCACTGTGGGTGCTGGACCTCTAGAAGAGCAGCCACTGTTCTTAACAAATGAGCCATCTCTTCAGCTCCAGGGACTTTGCATTTAAATGGACGGGAGAAGAGAGGTTGCCTTGAGAAAAGAGGAAAATGTGAAGTACTCTTGACTCTGCTAGGTATACTTTATTTTAAAAATTC